CGAGTAAAACGGGTTTATATATATATAGGCAGGCCGACGTCTTATTCCGTTTCGGTCTCGACCTCAGCCACTTTACAAAGGCCTCGGCCTCGACCACCTCATGTATAAGCCTCGGCATATATGTGTAAAGGAAATGGGAAATGTTCTCGGCCAAAACTATATATATAAAGGAAATGAAGGTGGTTAGTCATGAAGGCAGAAAAGAAAAATGTGATAAAATTTGCATGGCCGACAACAGTATTCCAAGGCCAAGATTTGATTATATATATATATATATATATATATATATATATATATATATATATATATATATATATATATATATATATATATAGCAATGATGTTCCTCGGCCAAAACGGTGGAGTTCCTCGACCACCAAGCATATAGCTAATGATCCTCGACCACTCAATAATAGACCTCGGCCAACAATGATGTTCCTCGGCCAAATTTTTGCCGATATATGTTAGCCAAAAGGGTTGGTCAATAACAGATACTGGGGAAATCGTCGAGCTGTGTTGTTGGCTGAACCAGTTAATTTCCTTAATCATTCGGCTTACAGGCCGAAGCTCAAGGAAACTAGGGGGCAATGTTTGGACCCGATTTTACGCTATCGGCCCGTTGCGTTAAAACCATTAGATGGCTCCAAGACTAAACTGATTTTTTTTATATTACTATTAATTTTAATTATGGTAATTATCTTAAGAGAGTTTTTTGAGTATGAGGATATCGGGATGAAATGGGATTAACATGGCGAAAGTTGTGGAAGTCTACAAAGTCATGGCTTTTTGCTTGGATAAGGAATTGAGCTAGTCATATTTGATTTGAAAAGCATGCAGCACGTGGAGATTGGGTGGATTCACAATCAAATGGGGTTGGTTTGTGATTATCCATTTGAGTTCATGAAGATTGCATGGAGCATGCATGCAACATTATTAGCGGAGACAAGCCCACGTGGCCTAGAGTTCTGTTTGAGATTGAATATATCTCATCAAGCGCGTGGCCTCATCATATATTTTGGTTCAGGATAAAGATGCATGAGTGACCAAATGATGGGTGGAAGCATATTTGAATGGCAATTCTTTACAGGATTTCGTAGAGGCATCTGCGCATACGACTCGTGAGACGGAGTGTTGGTTAGGCCAACACATCATCCAATGGGTTTACAGCCACTATAAATACATAGGCAGTGGCATCATTTAAAAGACCCCTGCAAATCAACACAAAAAATTGCCCTGCGCAAACTCTCACAACTTGAGATCTTTTTCTTTTCCTTTTTTTCGCTGACACACATCTTCCGTTGGCATCAACAGCACTGTGGAAGCAACCGGTGATATCTTAAGTCGGCATAGATAGCTCTGTCACCGTAGAGTCGGTCGGTCTCGCAGTATCTTCCGTTGGCATCAACAGCACTGCGGCGAGAACGGTCGATTGCCTATCCAAGTCTCGGTCGAGAAGGGTTTTCAAATCCTTGTTGGTCGAGGTCATCTCATTAGCCTTCTCGGCGAGGTGAGGGTGTTACAGTTATTACATTCGGCACATTGTAAGCCGAATTCGGTTCGTGAACTTTGTAAGAAATAGCAGCCTTGTCTTCAGGCTCGAGAACCCAAGAGGCCGAGACGCGTTCCTTTCTCGGCCGCAATCGCAAGACGCAGAAGTCAGTAGCGCGACTCGACACAGCATTATCAAATTTACTCCTCGGCCGAGCCTCGGCCGACGAGTTGGCACGCCCCGCAATCACCGAATGACGTAGTTAGCTTATTATTAATTACTCGGCCTGCGCGCCACGTAGGCTTTGTAGTTTCTAGGGTCAACAGTAGCGTACCAATAATATACCAAATTACTGATACGCTATTTTTTAATATATATGGGCATGCATATATATATATATATATCATTTGGAGTACATTGGTTCGTTTCAATATCACCTTGGTTTCTTTGTTAAAAAAACATTGTCTTTTTTGCAAGCACAATTTTTTGTTGTTGTTATTATTATATAGAATTTTAAATTTTTTTAAATTTTTTAATTTTTTTTTTATGTTGAAATTTTGGTGAGTAAATTGAAAATTAAATCTTATGTTTTTGGTAAGTAAATTTTGGTTTTAGATTTTTTGAGTGATTAGGAAATCTAAATAAAGAATTGTGATTAATGGTAGTTAATTAAACAAGAGTTTAATTTTGGCCTATCACCGCAATTATTTTCCGAAATAAAAATTTTCGGGTCCAGGCGTTACAAAAACTGCCCACTTGGGCTGATATCGTTCGCTGGCCAGGCTTGGGCAATAAGCCTGTATACACACAGGTGGGCTACAAATGTAAGCCCAGACGGCAAAGGCCCAAAACAGGGGTGTCAATCCTGTGCAGCGTGGTACACTGATACCGCAACCTTTATAGGGTTGGGATAAGGTGTGGTGGGAACACCGTGGCTAAGAAGGCCGGTGTCGGGCCAAGATGAGCTCCAAAGCCCAAAGGGTTGGTGTTCACTAAGAATAGGCCAAGCCCAAATGGGCTTGGTTTTTGAACCAGACACCTCAACGTAAGTTGGTGAACTCGTCGGAAAAGGAGACCGGCGCAATCGATGTAGGCCGTGGGTACGCCGGCCCTATAAAATTGAACGGAAAGTGAAAAAAAACTCTCAATGTTTTAGAAACCCTAGAAATATTCGATCAAAATTTTAACGAAAAAAAAACATCGAATTAGTCAAGGACTCGTCGGTGACGACTTCAAGTCGTCGGGGAGGTAGCCATAATGGATGGGCATGGCTGCAGGCCATGCTACACGATAGTTCAATAAGTGTGATGCCATCTAGGCTTCGGGTTCTGGGATTGGGTCTAGAGCTGTGGCTCCATGGTTGGGTTTCTCAGCTTGGGGAAAGGAGCCTAGCAACACGGTCGTCACACGCTGAGTTTCTAACGAAACCCTAAAAAAGTTCTTTTTAATTTTTAATTCAATTCCAGATTATAAATTAATTCAATTTCATGCATATTCAACATATAATTCAATGCATGGACATGTATTCGATGCAATTCATGACAATATCAATTCACATAATTCAACAATATGGATATAATGCATACACAATTTACGTAGAATCTAAAAGTTGAAAAACGTAAGGTTGGATCATGCATTATGGTGAATGTTCATGCTATCAGAGTTTCAGATATATCGAGATAAAAGTCGTTGTTTTGGAAGAACCTGATTGCGCGATGATATTGATGAACATGTCTGATTCAGAAAACTTCCACGTCATTTTCCTAAGCGCAGTGGTAGGAGCATGCTGATAAGGTGTTGTGGCTTATCTTATTTTATTTGACAAGGAGAGAAGAGAGGCGCGACATGGAGAGAGTAGGGAGAGAGATGTGTTTGTAGAGTTGTGTAGAGAATGTGTTATGCCTTTACAGTGTCTTTATTTATAGTAATAAGGGAGGGAAGAATCCTTCTCCTCCGAGGAATACAAGTCCTAATAGGGAAGAATAACTAGTATAAAATATAATCTAGGATTTACATAATCACATTTTTATTTGTTTATACCATAACTCACTTGAAAAATAGATTTAGTGTTCAAATTGAATAGAATAATAAAACAGAAAATGAATAATTGTTGTGCATGGATTTGGTACGCATGATTTCCAACATTTTATTTCTGGGAGTTTGTGGTATAACTTCCAACATTTTATTTTATTTTTAAAATTACGGTTGCGAAGTTTAATAAATATTACATTTTTCTTGTAAATGAGGAGTTTAATTGTTGTGCAAGGAATTTGATTGCTGAGCAAGAAAGAAGATTTGCTCATTATTCTCCTCAAAGATTTGTTCATGATTGATAGTAAACATTCATGTTCTATCCTCCTAATTGTTGTGTAATGCAAGGCGTTTCATTAATTGGCGTTTCTGGTTTAGAGTTTAAGGTTTAAGGTTTAGAGAAATGCTAACTACCTTCTCATTTACGTTCTTCAATTTGCCTTTCTCACTCATCAAGTGCCACGTGAACACCACTAATACTCAAAAATACGTTTTTAATGCCTTAAAAACTCATAAATATTTTTCTGTTTTACCACTAATAAAAACTCTTTTTACCTTCCATATTTCTAAACCCGCCCACTCTTTCTTCTTCCGCAAATCCTCAGTCGTCTGCAATTTTTAAGCACACAATTTTTTTGTCCATGGTCTTTTCTTCCCAATTTAGCTTAATTTGCCTCATATGTCATTCTAGGCTAAATTGCTGCATGCTATAATTGTGCTGCATATTCAATTTTGGGTTTTTAAGAAGGGAATTTTAACAAAAAGCTCTTGGTATTGTTCACTTTAACGAAAAATTACATTTTTACACTAAAAAGTCAATCCTGTTACTATTCACTTTACCCTTTATTTTGTCTTTATCATTAAAACTCAAAGTTTTGAAACCCTTTTAATTAGTTTTCCTTTATTTTTAAGGAAAACTAATAAAAAAGGTTTGAAAACTTTAAGTTTTAATGATAAAGACAAAATAAATGGTAAAATGAATAGTACCAAGATTGATTTTTTAGTGTAAGAATGTGTTTTTTCGTTAGAGTAAACAGTACCGGAAGCTTTTCGTTAAAGTTCCCATATTTTTATCTAGTTTAGTCCAAGTCAAGGCAATCTAATTTAGTTTTAGAAGTTAGTCCAGTCTGGGATAGTTTGGTGAAACAAACCTACCCTAATTCTATGTATCCAGCGGGATCCTTGCAGAATCGAAAACCGATATTGTACGTATTCATTCATTGAATAAATCCAACCGATTGACCAAAACGTTGGACCACCGTGATTGCTAAGTCTCTAGAGGGTGGCCCAGTATAAGTGCTTGAAAAGGAACTCCAAGCAAGCACCTACTCCTTCTCCAGGGACAGGGACAGAGACAGAGTCCTAGAGTCGTCAAGTCTTTTTCTTCTCCTCCCGCAAGGAAACAGTCTCATCTTCCAAACTCCAACCACTTACCAGCCACCTTGTGTTGAATTTGAATTAGGGTTAGGGTTTGAGAAACATGATGATTCAGATCAATAAACAGCCAGTGCTCCTGCCTCCGCCGCCGCCGCAAGGGTGTTTGACGACGGCTGCTATTCCGACAAGAGCAGCCCGAAACCTCCTTGTCCTCAACGCACCCACAAGGTCAACAACAATTCCGACAACTATTTCAATGGCTCGTCAAGTCCGACATTCGGTCCTCCCAATAATCCCGATGATGAAAAGAAGAGGAAGAAGAGCAATGGCGGCTTCCGATTCGGTTTCGGCTGCTGCTGTTGTCGACGTGGATATGGGGATTCGGAGGAAGAAGAATAACAAGAATAACAAGGTTTTTAAGGCGTACGGCGACCCCTGCCTCGATCTGTTTTTCAACGTCACACAACGACCCGGCGATTACAGCGAGGAGCAGCAGGAGACGGAGAAGGAGTATCACACCAAAATGTTTAACTATCTGCGGCAACAGCTCCCCTTGGCCTGGTCCCACGATCCTCTCACCACTCTCAAGCTCATCTTCAACCTCTCTTCCTGCGGTATCGACGGATCGAAATGGTACAGTGAAGCTTTTGAATTCGCAGCTGTTTGGCTCCACCACAACCACCCCAACACTCTGTTACGCAACTTCGGCTCTCTTGCCGACTCCTTCGGTCCTTTGTTCACCCTGCTCGACGTTCTGTACGGCATCCTCGTTCCTCCTCAGGATCAGCTGGATCACACACTGGAGGAGTTACTCCAACGCGAGAATCCGAATTCTCATGCTGATCGGTACGCCCACGACCCGACTTACAGGCTTTTGCACGACCGGGGTATGGATGCTTTTGCGGAGCGGTTGAAGTCCGATCTTGAAAAATTGAAGCAGAACAAGCTCGAGCTCAAGCCGTGTGATTATGATGACGATGTTGACGATGTTGACGATGATACCGACTACAATGCTAAACGCGGTTCTCTTGATGCTTATGCTTATCATGATCTTCTCGTTTCTTTGGCAATAGATTGTTTGCTTACAGGGAACCCTTGGGAGGCACATAAGGGGCGCTCCATTTCGCTGGAAGAAAGCACTGCGAGGAGGCTTCTCACCCCCGAATCAGATGTATCGCGGGAGTGGGAGCGGCTGAGGAAGGAGGTTTTGGCGCCCTTGAAAAACTACTCTAGTCGTCAAAGTCGGTTTGGCAGGTGGGAGCGCTGCGAGGTGAAGAAGTACTTGGAGGAGGTGAAAGCAGCAACAACAATTATAAAGCCCGACGCTTTACTTCCATATGACATCCTACGCTATCTGGAAGATGGTAATGTTGGGGAAGCGGCAGAGCTTCAATGGAAGGCAATGGTGCAAAAGGTCAAGGAGGGCGGCAAATTCAAAAACTGCTGGGCTGTATGTGACAACGGCTGGTGCCAGTCATGGAGTTTGAGTTTGGGACTTTTGGTGTATGAACTGAGTGAAGAGCCATGGAACCGAAAAAGTGATGAATTTCAGTCTGCCTGATTCCCGCTGTAAGTTTATTCCGCCCATTCATTTTTTGCCCCAGCTGCATTCCATTCAGGGCCTCGACGATGTTAAGTCCAAGTTCTCCTTTCTGACGAGAATGGAGAGGAGAATGGACATAAGCAGCATATGTATTGATATACAAATGGTGTTTGATGCGATCTTGGAAGTTGTTGTCAAGGAGAATTTGAAGCCAGAGCAGATGATCAAGAAGCTGTTTCTGTTCACCGACTGCGCAGGCTATGATTGGAAGGGTTACGAGAATCTGTATGAGGCCGTACGGAGCATGTTCGGGGACAAGGGGTATGGGGATGATGCGGTGCCACACATTGTGTTTTTGGGATTTTTTGGTGGGGGTATCGTTCTCCATCCTTTGATTTTCCTCATAGAGGGGTGACGGTGTTGCGTGGCTACTCCGAAAATTTGGTCAAATCCTTCCTGGACAATGGTGGGGATTTTCGCCCTCACCATCTCATGGAAGTAGCCATTGCCGACAAAGAATATCAAACTCTTGCTGTAGTCGACTGACTGACTGACTCAACATCCGGTCCCTCCTTTGGCATTGGCGATAGCATTGGCATTGGAATTGGATTGATGATCTATATGATCTTCTGCGATCTGATTGTTCATCATTTCTTACTTACCGCAGTTTCCAGGTAGAATTTAAACTAATAAGTCATCTTTATTAGGAAGAAGAGATATCCTATGTGTGTTTGTCTGTATTAGCTAGATGTGGTTTGGATTCATTCCAGAGCTCTCTCTCAACTTTATGTAACATTAGAAATAATCTTCATGTAACTTATAAATACTCATGTGTTTTAGTATCCTTAATTTTAATGTAACATTAGAAATAATAGAAATAATCATGTGTTTTAGTATCCTTAATTTTATTGTTTCCTAGGTTAGTTGGCTACCAACATGCAGGGCCGTCTGAGGTTTTGAAGGCCCTATGCAAAATTTGTAAAAGAGTCTCTCCTTGAGATAGTTTTAAGTTAAAAAAAGAAAGAAAGGACAATGCTAGGAAACATTCACTTAAATCAAAACAAAGCCACTTAGTACTATGGTCTAGTGGATACTCGTTTTTACTTGTAAGTGAGATATCTTAAGTTCGATTCTCGCCAAAGGTGAATTTGAACCACATTATTGCTAGCTCATTGTAAGACTTAGCCCAATTTCTCACTTTTTTAGTGTTGATAATGTTGTTCATTAAAAAAAAATATTCAAAATAAACTTTAGCACTAACTGATTGCATGTTTACAAATGTCATTAATGATAAATAAATAAAAACTACAAACATAATTTTCTCTAAATAATCAAAAGTAGTTCTATCTTAAACAACCAAACATGAAAAAAAACTTCAAAACTCTAATTTTAAAGTTTCACTTAAATATATAACATTATTATATAATAAAATTAAGAAACTATCGTTTTTTAGGGTGTTATTATTGACACTCAAAATATCTCATTGTACTCCAAAGTTTTTATATTTAGAAAGAAAAAAATAATAATCTTATAAGGAGTACACAATGCAGTTTTACAGTGCTAACAAAAACAATTTTTTAAATATAGAACATTATTACATGATATTAGATGACAAAAATTTTAGGGATCTCATCAAATTTGAGACTCTGTGCGACTGCACATTTCGCTCTCCCCAACGCCCCATTTGCCAACATGTGCAATTTTTTAAATATAGAACATTATTACATGATATCAGATGACAAAAATTTTAGGGATCTCATCAAATTTGAGATTCTGTGTGACTGCACCTTTCGCTCTTCCCAACGCCCCCTCTGCCAGCATGTTATGTTTTATTCTCTGTTCTGTATCTGAAAACTAGTGGTACATGATATTATGGATGATTAATTAAGCTTATTAGTTACTTAGTGGTGAAAGCAATTGGTTGCTCCTAGACCTGACAATTTCTGACATGACTTGTTAAGACAACACGAAAACAACAAAAAATAACGTGTTTCGAGTCACTACAATAACTAATCGGGTCACCTGGTTGCTCCTAAACCTGACAATGTCTTCACCTCGCGGCTTTCCCATGCGATAAACATGCCAATATTAGCGTACCGAAATTGAAAAACATGCCACAATTAGCGTACCAAAATTGAAATTTTGGTATATGGTAATGTCCCTAAGCTGTAGTTCATTTGATCAGTAATTTCATATCGTTTGCTTTCCAAGGAATTAATTCGAATACATATGAATCTCAATAACTTTTACCAACAATGACTGATGAAAATATATAAGCCATTTGTAACATATTTACAATCACAATGAACTTGTTTTGCAACCTACTCTTTCCCCATCCAACCCTTACAGCAAATACGTACGTTACATACATCCCCATTCACCAAGACATGAACACCCTTGACCCGTATCCTAATAACAATCACAAAACGGTCTAAAAAGGACTAAAAAAACGAAAAAAGAACTACATAACACAACAAAACAATGAAAGATTCTTTCCTTCATATGCCTCTTCCACACAAGTACCTTGAGTCAATCCTCTTTCACAGAGACTTCCCTCCTTACTCCTCCCCCCCCTCCCCCAACACAGTTGGATAGACAGAGAGATTTAGAGAGAAAGAGGAGGGGAGAGCTTTGTTGTTTCCTAAAATATTGTGAACAAAATAAAAATTATCTCAAATTGCTTTTATATCTCATACAATGCCCTAACCACTTCTCATAATTACAATCCATGTCCCATTTTATTTTATATTTATTATTTTTTGTAATGATTTTGTTTTTCACACTATCATGAAAAATTATTAAACTAAAATCTCGAACTTACAAGTACAAATGAATACCCGTAGTATTAGTGGCGTCCATTTTATTTAGTTTTTGAGAAAATTAACTAATATTCAGAAAGCATGCACTATATATTATTTAGTTTGTAAAAGTGTTATTGACACATCAAAATTATTATCGTGTACTCCCACTTTATAAAACAGTAGATAAAATTTGCACAAGAATGTGCATGATGACTTTTCTGAAGTATCAATAACAACTCCCTGTTATTTCTTATATTTACTCCTTTTTATACGAACAATATTGTTAGATGAAAATAATTGAACAATTGTATAAAGGTAATAACTTAATCATTGGAAGAATGTTTTGCTTTTGTTTTCGTTTAATTCTCTTTGTATAATGATTAAGATAGCAACGATTGCATTTTTGAATACTTTTCAAAATATGAGATGAATGATGGATAAATACACTCTTACTCATCATTGGAGAATTTGGAACTCTAGACCTGCCATACTCTTGCTCATCATTCAATACACTCTTATCATCGAGCTAACCATAGTGGCTTATGTAGACTACGTTGACATAACTAATTGGCTTTCCTTATTATAAGGAGACCATGGAGGGATTGAGAATTACTCCTACCTGACATCTGGCGAAGACTCTAAGCTAGTATTTCCTAATTGATGTGCATTTTATACTTGTTCTTAGTATTTTATTAGTTTTTGTGATATAACTAAAGATCAACGAGTCTCCAGTTCAACTAGCACCCGAACCGATAAGCGTATCAAGAGATATGCAAATACAAAGTGTATAAGTTGCCATCCTTTTTTGAGGTGATTTGAACATGTAGGAATTGTATCTTCTCTTAAGAAATTCCTGTGACCCGTTTTTTGATCACATCATCACATCTTCTCTTATATATAATAAAAAAATTGAATATACATGAAGTCTCAAGACCAAAAGACGAATCTTAATAGAAAAAGAAAGACAAAAACATCTCTGTGAAAATATCACATTTTATAGTACTACCCACCATAATATGGCATTATTCATGCCTGCATGTGAAATTTAATTCGAGGATTGTATATCTTTATCATCTTCTAATATTAATATTAATATACACAAACAAATTAATCATTTTTTTAACAAACAATAGTATTTGTACGGGTGAGGAAGTGGGCAGAGTTTTACAATAGGCTTGCCATAATAATGTAGTTCAACTTCGTCTTTGGCAAGAATCGAATCTAAAACATCTCACTTATAAATGAAGAGAAATAATTATTAGCATATACAGCTAACACATTCCAAACAAAATGAAAGAAAAATTAATTAGATGTCTAATTATTGTTATTGCCTCAATCATTTCCATTAGCTTTATTAACTATTTCCATCGTACCTTCATCTTTTTCGTCACAAGAAATTTCAGTGTACTTAGAATATAGCTTAGTATATCAAGTGTCATAATACAATTGGTTATTATTTTTTTTTTCAAGTATCCAACAACTTATATTTATGACACTTGGTGTACCAGACCCGACACACTTCTACACTTTGCAATCGAGCTAGTAGACTGGCCTAGATTTTCGGCATGTACTGCGAACATACAACAAAATAGTACAAGAGTGATTTTCTGTAAAGCAAGTTGAATGAGAATACTCTGACATCTAATGTAAATGTTTTTATCGTCAAGATAAACATTAGTATAAGCACAATGTATATTTTAAGATCTAAAAATTGGTGTGGAGTAGGGGTGGGCAAACGGGTAGAGGAACCGCGGGTAGGGGCGGGTAATGTAGGTTTGGGATGGGTATGGGCCGAGTCCTCTGTTTTTTGGGAACAAATGGGGAGGGGCGGGGCGGGCCATGGTTATTTACGGGGTGTGCCGGTTCCTAAACCTTAGAAAAACGGGCCCCAGACCGGCCCATTTTTAATTATAATCAACGGTCGAGATTGAATGATAACTTATCATTCAATCTGAACCGTTAATTTGTAACCTAGGTTTCCAAAATCCAAATCAGTTTCAGACTCTAAGTAACTCTCGAATCTCAATCTCTCCAACACTCCCTAACCCTCTTAGCTCTCTCGAATCTGCGGTGCCACTCCTCCGTCCACCTTCTCTGACACGACTCCGACCAGCCACAAGCAAGCCACACACACAGACAAGCACTCACACCCTGCTACTCACTCTCTCACTCCCACGCCCTCACCTCTCCAGTCTCCACCGTCACTCCCTCAAGCCT